GACTATTTGGGTAGAGGGTCTCTCAGTTAAAAAAAAATGCCTCCTTAGGATTTCCCATTGTAAAGTCTGCAGGATGGTTTGAAAATTAGTGATTGATGAGGGAGGACCCAGCTCACTGTGAGGGTTGCCAACCCTGGGCTGGTGGTTTGGGTTGCTCTAAGGTTGCTCAAGTCATGGAAAACAAACCAATAAAGAGCACTTTTTGATGGCCTCTGCATCTGCTTTGCCTCTAGGGACATTCCCTGCTTGAGTTCCTTCCTGATTTCCCTCAGTGAAGGACTGTTACCATGAAACGTGAGATGAAACAAGCCCTTTGCCCTCCAAGTTGCTTTTTTTCCCCCTGGTTTATCACAAGACTAGAAATCCTAAACACCAAAGCTTTGCCTTTTGTTTTATATCTTCTGATGTCAATTGGCTTTCTCCATCTCTTATCAATTGGCTGTGATATGAAGTAAGTATATAGCTGTTAGTTTCTCACTGGTTTCATAGTTACTTGTATTAACTTGACAGGTAATATTTGTATATAATCATTATTCCAGTATGGTATTCTGACACAAACACACATTGAGTAATGTTATAATCAAGGTTGACATACATATTTCCTCAACTGTTGATCATTTCTAAATGGCAAAACAGTAAAACTACTTCATTCTAGATTTTGTGAAATTTATAATACATTTTAATTATCTACTAACACTACTATATCCACCGCCTCACTTATAAGCTGCCCAAACTCTTTTTTCTATTCTATTTCTACATTACCTAAGCTTTGGTGGCCACTATCTATTTCCAACTTCATGAGTTCAATTTTTTAAAACTTTTAAATTCATTTTTTTGCTAGTATGAGCACATTGTGTGTGTGTGTGTGGTGTGCATTCTCATGCACATGTATGTGTGTGCATATGTGGGTCAGAAGAAAACTTTGTGGAATTATGAAGTTGATTTTCTTTCCACCTTTACCTGATCTTTGTGGATCAAACTCAGGTCAACAGACTTGCTCTGCAACAACCAACCCACCTTGCCAGTCTAAGGTCATTTGTTTTTAGTCCACATGTGAATTAGATTGAGGAATATCTGTCTTTTAGGCCTAGTTTTTAGCTAGGATAAAATATCCCAGCCTCACTCACATTTCTGCATATGGCACTTATTAACTAATTTCCACAGCTCTGAAAACTGCAGCCTTCCAGGGAATTTTCCAAGAATCCCTTTCCTGTGTTCACTCTAACTTTCCTTAAGACCTGGTCTAGGATCTCTAGAACCTGGGCTTTGAATCTCAAGTCTGTTATGGTGTGTCACCAAACACAATTCCCTTAACTCTGAGGAGACACAGTTCCTTTGCCATTCTTCTGTCTCTCTAGAGAGCTTTCCTGCCATTCTCTAAAATGGATTCATCCAAGACGATGTGGTTTATATATATGCCATCCAAAGTATTATGGGATACTTGGGAGGGGAAAGCAAAGCTATCACATTAATGGCCTGAGTCATCAGATCTGTCACTACATTGAGACAAGGAATTTGTACAGTAAATATTATTTTATGTCCATTAGGGCACAACATCCCACAAAGCATAGAGTCCAGGTTCCACCCTATAGACATAGCAGCTACAAGTATGGGATTGAGCAAACTGCTGGGCACTACGGATATTTTACCTTGATTTTGTTTACATTCTTTTTACACAGGCTGTGGCTTTCTTAGTTCTCAGAGAAGTTCCATCATTTTAAACTGACTGCTATATTAATAAGAAAAACACTTATGAAGGACGCTATGTATGCATGTCAGATCCGTATGTCTTATGGGTAATGGGTTTCTTTTCTATTTTGTTTTTAAACATGTGTCATTTGTGTATTTGCTGAGGAAAATATAGAGTACAGATCAAATCAATCTTTATTTTGATATTTAATTTTGATGATGAGCTGTCTTTATAAGTATACTAGTTTTGGGTTTTCTAAACAAAGAACTCTATAAACCATCCAACCTAACAGAGCACACGATGCTCCTACTTTAAGAGGTTTTCTGTGGGGTTAATACAATATTATATTATCAAAAACATTTTTGTAACTTTATACTTTTATTAGATTACAGAATATGATTATCTTTTATTAAGCAGCTTTATTCATACCACTTCACCAATAAAGAATTAATAAAAACTCTTGGTTATTAATCACATAAATTTCATTTTCAGTTTGACATTTACAAGAAGGCTGCCATGAGCTATATATTCTGAGTCAGCCCCATATGGAGCTGAGCTTCTCTGATACTGTAATCCACCCCTAGAACTCTCCCAAGGCAAAGCTACTGATTGATTAGTCATGTTTCCAGGTCCTATAGCTACACAAATACGTAAGATGTGCACAATAAACAGTGCATGGCTTCACGATTCAAAACTTATGCTTTCGAAAAATTTTCTATCCAAGACATGCCACACATTTTTGGAAAAAACATTTTTTATCCTCTGCATGTCTATTATTTTGCTGCCTTAGCTTTCTGAGACTTGCCCTATTTTCCAAGATTGAGTATCTACTATGTGAGACCTATTGTAGCATCGGCGTTAATCTTCTTTATGATTATTTCAATACTGTAATAAGATTGAAAATAAATAGACCATATCCGTGGCTCTGTTGTAAGCACTAGGCGTGTTTTACCATTGCTCACAGTATTAAGCACTGTGGCTACAAATATTCCAAATTCTTCCAGTTAGGCAGAGTGCTCTCTAAACCCACAGCATCAGTCGTACAGGAGAACTTGCCAGGACCCCAGATATTATTATACTGGATTGCAATCTAAAGTCCCTAGAGACAGGCCTCATTAAATTGTGTTTTCACCAGAACTTCAAAGTGACTGTAATGCGCAATTCTTGCTTAGATAGGTACAATAACAATTCTTACCACCTGGCAATAATAACTCGGTGTGCCGATCACAGCTCTCATATCTTCTTCACAAGCATTCTAAGTAATTAAAAGATATTAACTACATCTCACATTCTCTGAAATGTGATATCTTGTACCTACTGTGAAAACATTCCAAGGAAGGCAGTACTAAGATGTGTGGGCTGTTAGAGCGTCCACTGAGGGCTGAAAGTCAGCCGCCAAGTAACAAGTGCCAAAGTGTAAATCCAGTCCCAAAGTAGATCAAATGTCACAGAACTAGACCAGATAAACTACAGTTCTCATAGGACTTCCTGTAAAGACAAACCTTGTTCAACAATTCTCAGCAGGAAACATGGAAAAAGTGACAAAGCCACCAAGTGTAGGATACAGCTAATCAAACATCTGTTCTAGCATAAATATCCGTAGCTCAGAGTTACCGTAGCGGCAAGGTAGGACCTTCCATGACACCGCAACAGCAAAAATAAATTGTAATTGCCGCCAAGTCTGTGGAGTAACACTAACACTCAGTAGAAAAAATAAAATAAACATTTTAATTATAAGACATATAATATACAGCTTTCACAAAATAATCTACTCAAACTTGTCAGTAAGTTGTCATTATTTATTTTTCTCAAAACAGAGACTAGAACCAACATCTATGAATATTAGCTGAAAGGACTATAACTTATCAAATAATTGCAAGTAACTAATAAAAAACAGGAACAACAAAAGTGTGTCTTCTTGGGAGTCTATTGTGTTGATGAATTACAGGTGATTAAATAGGTGATGGCAACAGATAATAACTGCTAGAAATAATTAGATAAAATTGATAGATATATAGATAAATAGATTGTTGTGGGATAAACCTTCTGAACACTGTAAATATATGTTGCTCTCCTTGGTTCATACTAAGAGCTGCTTTGGCCAATAATAAGACAAAATAAATAGCTAAGTAGGAAACCCAAATGGAGATAAAGGGTGAAGAAAGATGGAGTGAGAGTGAGATGCCCTTCAGCACTGGAGGAACAAGGTGTATTGGAGTGCCGGTAATGCCACGAGACACATGGAAAAACCTAGATTAATAGAAATGGCCTAATGAAAAGATAAGAGCTAGTTAGCAATAAGCCTGAACTCTTTGGCCAAGCATTTTGTAATTAATAGTAAGCTTCTGAGTGATTATTTAGAAGTGGCCTGTGGGAAAGAGCAGGAGAGAGAAACCTTTAATTACAGATGATTGACAGGTGATAGACAGTAGATAGGTGATAAAGATAGAAATATAGATGGTGAATAGATGATGGTCACATACTCCATCGCTTGATAAAAACAGATGATTAATACATTATAGATACATGATTAGATGATAGTTTAATGACAGATGACAGATAGATAGCTGGATAGATAGCTAGGAAGACAGATAAACAGGAAGGAGAGAATTTTTTGATCCTGGAACCTGGATGAAAAGCCTAGACCTCCCTTACACATTCAAGCTGAGCACCCCACCACTGAGCAGAACTTCTAATTCTCAAGGTATTATATTTTCAATTACATATATTTAGCAGCTATATTAGGAAATAAAGAATAAATTATTTTATCTATTGAAGATTTCCTGCCTACAAGTTATGGGAACTTGCCAATCAGTAAGAATAAGCTACTTATTGGCCACATTTTAATGTTCACATTATTTTCATGAGGTAAAAATCCTTGTCTCCCCGCCATAGTCTAAGCCTTTCTCCTTTGAAAGTGCCATGAGACTTCTACACATTTAATACAGGTCAATTGTTTTATTTAATCTTTACCTAGGATACTTCTTAAATTTTAACAAGCCCATGAGCAGCACAATAAGGGCTTAAACATTCTATGCCCTAGGATGATTCAGAATGGAAGACTTGGGTTTTACGACTTTGCATTTTCTAAATAATTATAGTGCAGAAGATATGTCAGAATTCTGAGTTTACATATTTATATCACAAGGAAATGCATGTATAACTCAGCACACTTGTAGACAACATAAACCATGTTTTCAAAAAAAAGAATGCACAATCATCCCTCTGTGGAGAAACTTTCAGGCTCTGTAGAGATGGAAAACCTTCCTCTCTCAGAAATCGTTCATAGTGGGGAATATCAGCGACTCACCAGGAGGACAGAAGGTCATGGATGCTGTGAGCTGAGGAGGCGAAGTGGCTGGGTCAGCTACATGGAATGGTTAAAACCAATTCTCTGCAGGAAAATGAGGGTAAATGTTAGCAGCATTTTGTAGCAAGGCTGTTAGCCTGCAAAACCAACCTCCAGCAAAAGTGTCTTCAATTGCATCACTTATGAGCAGACAAGAGTTTCTGTTGTTCAGAATGCCATAGAGGATTATTGAGTACCAGCAACGCATGTGAACCGAACTATGCTTTTCTCTTACTTGTCTCCTGCATTTGGACCTCACATCATTTCACACACATTAGGAGACAGAAGGTGGGACTCCTACAAAGGAGCTCCTCATTTTTATCTACGACAATAAATCACATACTCTTTTTCAAAAGATGAAGAAGATGTTGGACCAAAAAATACAAGTTCTAAAATCTACACTTAAAAAACCAACTCAAAATAACAAATTCAATGAAATATTATATAATGAGATGTTATGCATGTGTGTTTGCAAAATTAACAAAAAATATGTTAAACGCTAATAAAACGATTAGATTCAGTAGGTCTTTTAGATTCAGCTTGCTGATCCCATTACGGCAACCCAAGGGGTTCCTACTAAAACACAAGCACACTGTATATTTCTGGCTTCCATTCTTTTGCTTTCTTGCTTAATAGTTTTCTCTTACAATTTCATAATGTATAAATGAATTCTGATTACTCTCTTTTCTCATTTATCCCTCACTTATCCCTATGTGATCATATTTATTATGATAATATCCATGCAATGAAACTCGTATCTGTGACTACGTTTCCTAGTGACATTTCTCAAATAGATTATAGAAGCAGATTTTAAATAAAAATCTGTGTATTGGTCCCAACTTGCCACGAGGTCTGTAATTTCATGCAGTGCCAATTAGGCTTCTTTTCTCATATATAACGTGGGAAAACTATATCAATCAGGCTATGCTGGGGATTAAAAGGCAGGTAACCTAAAAAGTCTGAAGTACACTAGAAAAAGACTAACTGTGTACAAACCGGAGTGATAATACTTACTTGTGCGTCCTAGAATAACACACAAAACCTCCTATACTTCACTGATAAGTGCATAGCAGAGTTAATGGCTAATTTCAATCAGATAATTTGAATATAAGGTCTAGCTAATCATAGATTTTATGGTTTTTCTCTTTCATTTCCTAATGTATGTCTTGAGTTTGAAACAGTGACTGATTTAAAAATAAGGAAAATATGTGCTTAATAAACAAATTAATCAGATGTTCACGATGAAAAGGTACCACTTCCTTATACTGTGGACTGCAGAGGCTAGAGAAGAGTAGGTTTATCTAGCTGCTTTTGTAACAGTCTTACTACCCACGATGAAAGTGTGATATAAACAATAGCAGTGTAAAAGAATGAATGCAACCAAGAAGTGTGTAAGCAACAGTGGATACGTCATGCTGCGTGCTATTCACTGAGCACCAAAGTGTGAAGGGCAGGAAAACCTCAGATCAATCCTGAGAATTGAGCTTGATGAACAAAATATACTCACAAGCCAGCAATGTCACCAGGAGGACATAGTTAAGACACAAACAACAACACTAACAAAATAGCAGCCAATTCTCACTGAATGACAGAACTATGTAGGGCTTGGATTAAGGTAAATATGAGTGTCATGTTTGCCCTCCGTAAAAAGGTTTAACAGTGTGTAAAGATACATTAAAAATTCAGCAATCAACCCAAAAATATTTAATTCAGTTATCTTAAATATCAGTACAAATATTACAAAACTAGTACAAAAGTACAAGATTAGTACAAAAGAGTTCATACTAAAAGTTAAAACCAAAAGTTAAAGCTAGGTCTGTTTTGGGTCTTGATTTACTATCAGTCAGAACCGTCTAATCTTCCTCAATCTGCTCAACCTCAGGGTTCCCAAAGCAGGGAGGGTTATGGGAGCAAGAGCAATGTGACAACATATTGGTCAACTTGGTAGTTTGACATTTTTGATAACAGTATTATTAACGTTTCCACCATATTGAAAATATAAGAAGGTATTTCTTCCGAATATTGAGGTTGCACTTGTATCTTTGTGCTAGTTGTCACAACACTGACACCATGAGACCTTCCATTGATTCAGCAATTATGCGGGCTGCCAGTGATTTGGCATGAGTGTTGATGGTTGTAAGGAGAAAGAGGACCATAGTCTTTTAAAGAGAAAATAGGGAGAAGGCATTTCAGTGAGCAGGAAGGGTAAGGTTTGCGGAGAAAGTAGATAATCCATGAACACTTACTTTAAACTGCTCTTGTAGTTAAACTTCTCTACTCAAATCTATAAACCAGTGACACTCTATATTCTGGGCAAGTTCTCTATTACTGAGTCATGTACCCAGTCCCAGACTTTTGGTTGTAACAGTTCATCCTTCCTGTGCCGTTTGGGAGACAGCCATGGGCCATAACAATATTACACCAGTAACTTATAGTCTGAGTCAACTAGCAACTGACAAAGGGTTTTACTCATAGCAGTAATGAAATGTTCCTGGCAACTACAAATGTTGAAAACTTTGCTCCCAAATACATCCCAGGAATAATCTGATAAAAATAATTAAACCTATAAAGAAACAGGTTTTAGATTCACTTTGATTCCTTCTAGTCCTGCATCTCAAGTGTGTGGTGTCCTCAGCAATATGGAATTACTGCATCATCAGAGACGCAACCAAGTGTAATAGCAATAACCTATATTGTTTGGAGAGTCTCTTGGACTCTCCTACTTTCACCCAGAAAGATTTTCCATTCTTAGTACTGAGGTTTTTGTTAGATAATCTATGTCTCTTTTAGGGAGAGTTATCACACCAAGTGTTAACCATAAGTATAAATATATGTGTGTCATGAAATATATCTATATAAAATATATACATGTATTTATATATATGTACACTTCTGTATTATATTTAATTTTAGATACATATAAAACAATATGATCCCTATGGCTTTTTCCATGTTATTTATCCCTTCTCTTTCCCTCTCTTTCTGCACTGTCCTTCCTCCAATCTCCCCAATTAAAGCCCCCAAGTTTGCCCATTTCTCCCTCCACAACTTCTATATCCTGATACCCCCATCTTTAGAGTACACACCTACCATCACATGTACCTTGACTCCTTTTAATTTCCTGATTTCTGTGATTGCTGCAGGTTATAAACTTACACCCGAGGATGGGAGCCCCATACACTACTGGGCTTGCGTTGCATCACTCAAGATGCCTTCTGCTTCCATCATTTTAGCAGCAGTTGTCATTTTTCTTCCCATGTTAATAGTGTTGTATCCCGCTCCCTGAAAATTAGCTTCCAATGTATCAGAAGGTGACATGCAAGCTGCCACGGGAGGACAGTGTTCAATAACACCAACCAACCACAAAAATGACCAGCATGGCAAAATATCCCTAAAAGTACAATCGTGACAATTATATCTTGGTAGTATCCAATAGTTGTCTAATGACATAAGGCCCATTTAATCATGCCTGCTACAAGAAACCAGTCAATTTCCTCTAGTCATTGAGGTCATGAAATTAGGATACAACCTACTATTGCAAACTTATTCAAATATCATGATGCTGAAATATATTCTAAATAATTATTCCTATAGCCATAAGTAAGTGTAGCTTCTGCCCCCCTCTATGTATTTACATTTATATACAGTGTACATATATATGTATATGTGTATGTGTGTGTGTATAGTATAGCTACAAACTGGTATTCCAATCAGTTTTATTCTATGTATATATTTGTACTAATGAAAGTTCATATTTGGGATGAACTAATTCATGTTCTCTCAGCAGTTGTTGATTGTAATATATAGTATATATACAATATTCAGAACTGTAATTATATATTAGCATTTATGTATACTATATTCTGGGTTTAATGCATACATTGCAATATGTCATTTGTATTATATATTGTACATTATATATAAAACATTATACATTATGCAATTATAATATATGTATGGGAGAGGGGGACATGGAGGGATTGAAGAGAGGAAAAGGATGAAATACCAAAAATTATGTGACTACATTGCTCATATGTGAAATTTAAAAAAAAACTTAATTGAGTTAAAATCATTTACAAATTTTTGTAATGAAGTAGGTTTGAAAAAATACTGACAAAGAAAATGCATGAATCAAACTGGGACTGACCTAAAATCTTCTATTCTGACATCTAGTCTTATGGTATAAGAAAATACTCTGCAATTTGCCAAAAGAGGGAAGCAATTTAACAGTCCTGCCTAGCCGCAGCATCCACGAACCACAGGAATGAGCATCATGGCAAGATATTAGTAAAGATGCAAGAAGTATCACTGCTAGCCAAAGGCTGCCTAAATGAATTACACCCAACTCAACAGGACAGAAATTGTGTTTGGTACTAGAAACTTATCCAGCTTCCTGAGGTCAGTAAGAGCATGGACATTAGACTAGACTAGACTAGACTGTTGGATGAGCATGGTTCTTTACTACATTCCAATCTTATCCTTATGCTCACTGATAATTGTGAAAACCACCCCTCACCGAAGACTGCTTTTTAAAATTTTATTTTACTTTTTCTTTTTACAGCAAATAGGGACCATCACAGGACATGAAATTGATGAGATTGGACTCAACAGGTCTTGTGAAGCCAGCAGTAAAGGATACATATATACCATAATTCTTGTAGTGAGGGATCAGAGGACATTAAAGAAGAAGAGCCAGAACAGGAGGGAAGTCTGCTGTAAAACAACAACCCTAGAAACTGATAGATAAACAAAGCCAAAACAATGGGAAAATCAACAACATATTAATGTTGAAGAGTTAAAAGTTGTCCTAGCACTAAGCAAAGAACTACAGACAAGTAATGACTAATAGAAGGATTAACTCTCTTGGGAATGAGCTGCCTTACTGGTTGGCCAATGCAGAGTGGTCAGCCTGAATCTGCATGGACACAAAGAACAAAACAGACTCCTCAAGTTGTAAATTGATATTTGGGCACACAGAAACATATGTGTGACTGTGTGTTGAGATTGTATATTATTGTTCTATCATATATTTGAGAAAGTGACTG